CTACTAGATGGTCTTATATGTGTCTTTTGTCCACACGTAATCATGCATTTACAAAAATTATTGTTCAAGTTATTAGACTTAGAGCACATAATTCTGAACATCAAATTCAATCAATTCGAATGGACAATGCTGCTGAATTTTCCTCAAAGGCTTTCAACGATTATTGTATGGCTTTGACAATTCAAGTTCAACACTATGTCCCATATATATATACACAAAATGGTTTAGCAAAATATCTTATTAAGAGAATTAAACTTATTGCAAGACCGTTATTACAAAATTACAATCTACCAACTTCATATTGGGGTCATGCAGTCTTACACACTGCTGACTTAATTCAATTTCGACCAACTGCATATCACGTTGTCTCCCCAATGCAATTAGTACGTGGGAATATACCAAATATTTCTCATCTACGAAATTCGATTGTGCTGTATACGTACCGATCTCACTGCCTAAGCGTACATCTATGGGCCCATATAGAAAACTTGGTATTTATGTGGGATATCAAACTCCATCGATTATCAAATACCTCGAGCCTCTTACAGGAGACTTATTCACGGCCCGGTATGCTGACTGCATATTTAATGTGGACTATTTTCCAGCATTAGGGGAAGATTTCAAGTACCAAAGTGAATGCCAGGAAATCAACTAGAATGCCCAAGGCATTTTCTCCTCAGATCCACGTACTCAAGAGACTGAACAACAAGTTCAGAAATCATAAACTTGCAACATATTGCAAATAACCTGCCAGAAGCATTTACTGATTATAAGGGTGTCACTAAATCTTCTTATCCTGCTCGTAATGCGCCCGAAAGAGTAGAGGTACCAATAAAAACCATTCAACTCTCACTTTCAAAGAAGAGGAGGAGAAGTATGGCCGCTCCTAAGGATAATGCTCTAAGTAAGCGTCCGAGGATATCGAGGGCTAAATCCTTCAAATCAGTAAATCCAAGCCAACCTCAAATTGTAGAGACCCAACAGTGGATAAAAATCCAAAATCAAGACCAAATCCATAGCCCGGATCAACGGTGCATCTAAATTCTGATCCTAGGACATTAGAACACCCTGACTCTATAATTTTGAAAAATGACGAGTCAATTAATGGGGTGAAACAAATTTCTATCAATTATATCGATTCTGGAGAATCATATGATCGTAAGACTACTGTTGTCGACATGTACTTCTCCGTAGTAATTGTAGATTTTTTTCTCAATGATCCAGATCCTAAGACCATGGCAGAGTGCAAAAAACACTCGGACTGGGCTCAATAGAAAGAAGCAATTTAAGCTAAGATAGCCTCGCTCACTAGAAGAGGGGTATTCACATCTAAATACCTACACCTTCCAAAGTCTTTCCTGTAGGCTTTAAATAGATTTTTGTCCAAAAACAGAATGAAAAACAATGAGATGGTGAGATATAAAGCGAGGCTAGTAGTACAAGGGTTCACGCAGAGACCCGGCATTGATTACAATGAAACATATTCTGCGGTAATGAGTGGAATTACTTTCCGATACTTAATATCATTAGCAGTTCAAAATCATCTATCTATGCAGTTGATGGATGTGGTGACAACATATCTATAAAAGAAGCACGTAATCACCTAAAGATGGAATTCGAGATGAAGGATTTGGGTAAGACCAAATATTGTCTAGGCTTACAACTTGAGCACCGTCCTTCAGGGATTTTAGTGCATCAATCAGCTTATATCCAAAAAATATTAGAAAAATTCAATATGGATAAATCATACCCTAATAAAACCTCAATGATTGTTTGTTCCTTATAAATAGGAAAAGATCCATTTAGACTATGGGATATTGGAGAAAAGATGTTGGGACCAGAAATCTCATATCTCGGTGTCATTGACGCACTTATATATCTTGTAAATTGCACCAGACCTGATATCACATTTGCAATGAACTTACTAGCTAGGCATAGTGTGAACCCAACTCGCCGTCATTGGACGGGAGCGAAGTATATCCTCAGATATCTTAATAGCACAAAGGATCTTGGTTTATTTTTCAAGAAAAATCATGATCCCAGTATGATTGGTTATACTGATGCTGGTTACTTATCTGATCCTAATAACAAAAAATCCTAAACATGATTTGTATTCCTGCATGGAGGTACAATTACGTTGACATCTACTAATCATTCTAAAATTATTGCTCTATACGAGGCATCACCAGAATGTGTATGGCTTCGTAGAATAATTAACCACCTACAATAGTCATGTGGTATTGGTTCAATTGAATCATCTACAATTATCTATGAAGATGATTCTATTTGTGTTACACAAATGCAAACATGTTACATAAAAAGCAATATCACTAAGCACATTGCTTCTAAGTTATTTTATCCCCATCAATTATAAGAAAGCGGGGAAATAAACATCTTGCAAATCAAGTCATGTGATAATCTTGCTGACCTATTTACTAAGTCCTTACCAACTTCTGTGTTTCAAAAATTGGTACATGAAATTGGTATGCGGCGATTTCGAGATTTACCAGAATCAGGAAGAGACATCTCTTAAATGTTGACCTGTACCAGCATCATATTATATTATTTTCTTTCACAAGTTTTACTCATAAGGTTTCTTGTTAAAGTTTTTAATGAGATAATATTAACATAAGCATGTGTCATATTTTCTATTTTCTCCATCAAGGTTTTTGTGGAAAATATCAAAGACACATATTGCCCTCACAACTCATCTATGGTTTTTCCCTGAAAATATTTTTCATGTGAGTTATCCTAGAGGCAATACCAATAATATATATTTTCTCCTAATTTTTTCACTGGGTTTTTACAGGAGTTTTAGCGACATATCACCTTATATTGCTCCTCATATTTTTTCTTGAAAAGGTTTTTAGGGGAGTTATCTATATGTCGTATCTCCAATATTTTTTTCTCACTAGGGTTTTTAATGGGATATCAATAACATAGCGGTTTATTTAAATCACATAGACATATGCTATTTTCTCCTTATATCCTATAAGGTTTAAATGAGTTTTTATAGCATATCTATACATATATATTCCTCAGATTTTTTTCACAGGGTTTTTCGAGAAATCTCAGCTTACAGCTGCATTGATCTCAAGGAAGATTTGATCAAAGGGGGAGAACGACGCCAATACACCAAAGGCATCCTTATACAGATGATCTCATCCGTCCGTATGGATCTGTACGGCGTCTGTACAAGCAGTTATGATTATAGTTTAGATTAGTAGTTAACTGTGTCACCGAAGGGGCGTATCTTTTGGTGATGAGATGTAACTTTTCCATGGTTGTGTCCTTTGGATACACTCCTTCACATGTATATATTCTATGAGATCAATAAAACACAACAGTTATTCCCAAATCTTTGTTCATTTACATTCAGATTCAACAGTTCGGGCAACATAAGTTAAAAAAACATAACTTTTTTATATACATGAGTTTTAGATAAAGATAATTTTTATATAAAAATTATATAGCTCGATGAGATTTACAACTCCATAGTTCATAACTTTGCTGTCTAAAGCTATCTTGATGCTAAAATAGTCGATACAATACTCGGATCTACCAATATACATTTGAAACTTGTATTGATTATTTCGGTACTAATATGACTTTTTTACATATAAAAATAAAGTTTATATGACCATTGTAGAGGCCAATGAAATCTACAAAATTTTAGTTCATTATGTTTTCATTTGGAGTTATCTTATTCCCAAATATTCGATGCAGGTTTCTATCCGAGCATTGTACTGTATCAATTATTTAGACATCAAAATGGTTTCGAACGGAAAACATATGAACTACAAAATTATAGATCTCCAAGCTCGAAATTTTCATATAAAATTTATCCTCATCTAAGCTCATATAAAGAAAATGTTTTTTAGACATGTTAAAAGATTTCCCCCGTTTGAATATGCGGTAAAGGTAATTCTGCCGATTCACTTGGCGATAATAAGTTAATAATAATCGGCGATGGGTGTACTTTGTAGGAAATTTTTTTGAAAAATAAATTTATAAATTATATTAAAATAAAAAAATTCTATGCGCGTGCTGTCTGCAGGGGGAAAAATTGTCGGAGTGGTTGGTCAGCTGAGCAGGCTGCCCGCCCGCGGTTCGAGCGCTTCGCTACCCTGCTGGCGCCTCACCTTTCTTTTTAAGAGTATCCGGGAGACTTCTCTGTGTGTAAAAAAAAGGGTTAATTGGATCCATGCTATTATAATTTTTGATGTTTGGAGAAACATCATTACTATTTGTCTATTTTGAAGCATGCCATTACAATTTTTCGTTTTCCCACAAAAATACCACTGAATACGTATGGACAAAGCCTGGGCCCAGCTGCAGGCGTATACGAAGATGTATACTTCATCTCCCCTGTCACTGACACGCGGGCCCCACATGTCATCTTCTTCTTCCTCCTCTCCTCCTCTCTCTCTCCATCTCGACTTGGGCATCGCCCATGGCGGCGGCGATTCTGGCTTCTTGGGGCGAGCCGACGAGTCATTGTCGGACCCCAGCAGGCCATGGGCGGCAGCAATGGCGACAAGAGCACCACAGTATGAAGCTACTGGGGATGGCCGGGCGTGAGCTTCGCTCCCGGGCAGAGCGCCGAGGACGCAGCCTAACCGACGTGTTGCTGCTACTCGCGGGCTGTCTTCCTCTCTGTTCTTCCCGTGCACACTCTGCACATGGCTTGCTCGCCGGCGTGGGCTCGGAGTTGAGCTAGGGGCCACGGGATACGCTGGGGAGAGATGCAAACGGAGAAGGAGCTCACCACGACGCCGATGGTGGGCTTCTTGTCGTTGAATGCTGACTAGAGAGGGAGGGAGCCGAGGCGAGGCGGACGACAACTCCGGCGAGCTCGCGACAAAGGTGTTGCTGGCGTGGGTTGATGCGAAGGAGCGGTTTCACAGACTCGTAGTGCCTCTGCGAACTCGACGGAGGAGGAAATGAGGTCGGAGGCGGTCAGGAGCGCAGAGAACAGCGAGCTCAAACCGAGCTCGGCAATGGCGGCTGTGCCGGCGGAAATGGGTGCTGGAGAGTGGGGAAGGGCTCGGGTAGTGGTGGAGCGGTGGAGGCATGTGCTCGCGGTGCCGAGGCCCAACTTATATAGGGCAGAGAGGGAGCGAAGAGGAGCCGGTCGCGAGCTCAGAGGCATGCCGCCCATGGCGGCTGCGATTGGCGCGCCTGAGGTGTGTAGATGGCGCTGCGACTACTGCGAGGGTAGGGGGGACGCGGAAGGGAGGGAGGGGGCCTGGTCCTCGCGGCAGGCGAGCTTGGTCGTGGCAGGAGCGGGAGGAGATGGGTTGCTACTCGTGGGCTGCCGGCGTACTGCTGCTGCTGCTGCCGCCGTGGCCGTGGCCGTGTCGGGATGAGAGAGAGAGGAGGAGAGGAGGAAGAAGAAGATGACACGTGGGGCCCGCGTGTCTGTGACAGGGAAGATGAAGTATACGTCTTCGTATACGCCTGCAGCTGGGCCCATGCCGTGTCCATACGTATTCGGTGGCATTTTTGTGGGAAACGGTAATGGCATGCTTCAAAATAGACGAATAGTAATGGCGTTCCTCCGAACATCGAAAATTAAAATGGCATGGATCAATTAACCCTTAAAAAAAATTGTCGGCCAATTAGCCAGGGAAAATTGCACTCCCGTTTACGCACTTCCCCTGCTCCCCTGCCTTAGATAGCTATAGGCTCGTCGTACGTTCGGTTCGGCCGTTTTCTGCATCAACGGGCCGAACACGCCCTTGCCGACCGCCGCCGCCGCCGCCCTACTCCCCGCTGCCCAGGTCTTCGTCGGACTCTTTGCCGGCGACGAGCACTCGCCACGCTGGTATGCCCGCCCCTCTCTCTTCCCTTCCTTCTGTGCAAAACGGAGTTCCCGAACCCTGATTTATGCTATTTGGCTATTTGTATTCGGATCTGATCTAATCACAAGCGTAAGTGTATGCATGTATTACGCCACTAACTTTGTTTTTGTTTTTGGCAAAAATTATTGGGTGTACACCCATGCCCTTTATTGGGTCCGCCCCTGATCCGTCTAATTAATCTCCATTAACTTGATTTCTTGAAGCTCAGCGTATGACTGTTTGAGGTGGACCATTGAAATACTAAATGACTGAAATTTGTATTCTGAAACTGTGGTCACTTGACAGATAACTGTGGGCATTGAGAGCGGAAATATTGTATTACTTTTTCAGATTATGTTTATCTTAGAACTATTTATATTGTAATTTATGCAGGTTTTGAACTCAGTTTGTTGAATTCAGATATTATGAGACCTTCTAAATATATATGTGTATCATGCTTTTGATTAATTATTTGTATACTGGTTTCTTTGTCAAATATTGTATCTAATACCGAAATGTGAATATGGATTATACTGAATTGCATATGTTAGTGCTGGCTAGGACTAACAATAATCTAGGTTAAATCCTGGTTCTGTCACTACCATTGTTGAACCAAGCTAATCTGCTTTAGTTTCATCTCTTTATCAAGTCAGAGTTGTTGTCAACCACCTGCGCGGCTAATTCATATCTCCTCTGGCATAGGGCTTGCATGATACTAGTATTTTCGAGGACAACAGCAAGAAGCCTTCATAAAGCCATACCCGCTTCTCATTCACATTCTTCAATCTTTTGGATCAAAGAATTCTTTAGCTGTAAGCCAACATTTCAACATCTTAGCACTAACAACCTGATGAGCCCAAATGATCTGTTGGAGGCTCAGGATATGGTTCCTGCTGAGGGAAACCACAGTTGCTCCTCAAGTGTTCAGTCCACCCCAGAAATTGAGAAAAAGTATGTGCATCGTGTCTATGATGCCATAGCTCCCCATTTCAGTGCAACAAGATTTGCTAAATGGCCCAAGGTTGCAGGATTCTTGAATTCCTTGAGGCCTGGGTCGATTGTACTGGATGTTGGCTGTGGTAATGGCAAGTATTTGGGCTTCAACCCTGATTGTTTATTCATAGGATGTGATATAAGCCCACCGCTTATTGAGATATGTGCTGGGAGAGGGCATGAGGTGTTGGTTGCTGATGCTGTCAACCTCTCATACAGGAATGATTTTGGTGATGCAGCAATTTCGATTGCCGTGTTGCATCATTTGAGTACTGATGATAGACGGAGGAAGGCCATAGAAGAGCTAATACGTGTTGTTCGGAGAGGTGGTCTGGTGCTCATAACAGTCTGGGCTAGGGACCAGGAAGACAAGTCATTGCTTAACAAGTGGACTCCCCTCTGTGAGAAGTATAATGAAGAGTGGGTTGAACAGAGCAGTCCTCCAGTACGTAGTCAATCTGGAACTCTTCTGGAAAGCATTGCAGAAACTGATGAAGACACTGGTGTAATGAAGCAAACAGATGATCGATTAAAAAAATTTCATGATGGGGTGGAGGATAAGATCATTGACTTTAGTAATTCAAAGACTGATGAAAATGAGAAAAACCAGCAGGAGTACTTTGTTCCATGGCATCTACCATTTCACCGAGCTGAAATTGGTGCTGCATCTGCTGCTCTGGAGAATGGATTTGCAAAGAAAGATGAGAAGAAGGGTACAGTGGTCTACAATCGTTATTATCATGTTTTTGTTGAAGGAGAACTTCAAAGGTGGAGTATTCTTACTCAGCAACTCTACATTCACATGAAAAAGCTTACTTCCTTCCCCTTTTGTTTCTACCTGTATACCTGTATAAAGTCAAATTCTACATTTGACCAATAAGCCATAGTATTGATGCCTCATAGAAGCTTCCTGTTTCATGGGTTTATTCTGATTTTTTCTGTCTTGGTCAATGTTAATATGTTTGTTTAGTCGCGAAAGATCAGAAAAAAATGGAATAACTAAAGATGGTAACTAGCTGTAGAAGGCAGTTTGATGCAGTTGACATTCTAGCGGCTATATTTACTCCTTCACCCAATCTTTCTTGATTAGAGGTTCACCAGAAATATTGCCTTTATACTTATAGATATCACTACTTGTCACCTGATTGCCTTATACAGGTTATAGTTGCAAAAATCTGGTAACAATAATTATAGAGAAAGAAGAATATATTCTGCTGCTTGCACTTCATAAGCATGTATTACTTTCTTTTTGCTGAATGTCAGCTCTTTTGATTCGGAATATCTCATATCATTAACTGTCTTAATTTCAGATTGGTTTCTGGCATAAAGAATGCTACTATTGTTGACCAGTTCTATGACAAATCCAACTGGTGCATTGTTCTCGAGAAGCTTTGAGCTGCAGGCAAAGGGATGTCACAAGAAGCCATCTGAAGCTGATATTTGGGAGGATTCAGTGGTAGGCAAGCCAAATGTTTTGATCTCGAAATGTATGATGCATTGTTAAGGCTTATGCGTCAGGTTGCCTGATATTTTGTCGCCATCTGGACTTGTAGAAATATTTGCTGTCAATCTGGTCAACATCGTATATTAGCATGATTGCTAGTACTGTTTTTGATATAAGTATGAGCTTTCATTTTTTTAACGCAAAATGAAGGTGTCCGTTACCCTTTGTTTGATCTATCACATCATGGACATACTAATCCTGCTTGGATCTGTTAGTGGCAACGATTAGTTTGGGGGCTCAACAATAGTTCATTAGCTGGTGGAGGGATGCTTATAGTTCATTTGCACCTCTAGCCAACTATTCAACCACCCTATTAGCTGGTCGGGCAGACTCTTGCTAATAGTAGCTAGCTAATAGTTAGCAGCTATTAGCTAGTTAGCTAGCTAACTAATCGATTCAAACATGGCCCTATGCTGCTTTGTGTTTCACAAAAGCAAACTTTTTTTGAAACAATGTGCAGCATGCATGCCATTCCAGTTCCCAGTTTTATGTATTGGGAGATGCTCAGGAAACAGAGATGACAGACCTGTCATAACAATCGAAGAGTACAGAGAGCCGGAACTTTTGTGATGCCCAACGATGACTAGAAACAAAAATACCTACTGCTAATAACAGAGTACATGTACAAGCAGATTTTGCCGAAGCACAAAAGGTCTCAGCATTCTTCAGTAGGGAAAGGAGCATCCTGTTGGGAGCAGAGGAACTCCTGTAGCGCCAAGTACACTATATTAACGGCTCTGGTGCAGATCAAATGTATTCTTCCTGATGTCAGGTAATTGGACGAGCTTGTTCAAACCAACAGCCTTATGTAGCAGCTACTTGCCAAACGCTTACCTCTGGCTTGTTAGAAGTACCTGATTCTGAATCACCAGCAGAATCTGCACTTGGTTTGCTTGCAGAGTTTTTGGCTGGTGATGTCCTGGGTTTCCTCTCAGAGGTGCCAAATGCTTCCAAAGCGTCCAGGAAGAACTTTTTATTCGGGACAATCCCCTGTTTATTCATTCTCTTGAGCAACTTCTGCACTAGTACCTTATCGTTCGCCTTGGTGTAGGCTTTGTAGAGCAGCTTGTAGGTGGAACCATTGGGCACAACACATTTCTGCAGTGCAGTATCCAGCAGCTGATCTGCTTCTGTGTGCAAGCCGTTCATGCAGTAGGCATCAAGCATCGAGTTCAAGGAAGAAAGGTGCACTTTGTTTTGTGAGCTCACAAGCTCATCAAACACTTGCCGGGCCTTTGAGACACAATCACAATGAGCATACATCATGATGAGGCATTCTTGTGTCACATAGTTTGGTTTGAATCCCAATTCTTCCATCTTCTCAACCACAGACTCTGCTTTCTCTCTGAGCCTTGCTTTCCCATAATTTGTTATCATGGAATTAAACGTTGGGTGTGTAGGCCTCTCCTTTGATCGCAGTAGGCTCTTGAACACCTGCTCCATCTTATCAAATGTCTGCTTTCGCCCATATGAATCTATGAGTATGTTGAATGTGATCACATCTGGACGGCATTGCTTGCTTTTCATCCGCAGCAACACAGATTCCATCTCTTTGATCATGCCATTCTTCCCGTATGCGTCAAGCACTCCATTGTAAGTATATATGTCAGGGGAGACTACACTTTCATCCAGATCCTTGAACAAGATGTCTACCTGCTTTGTGTCACCAGCCTGCGCAAAAGCCCTCAGCAGAATGTTGTATGTCACAATTGTCGGTTGGCATCTCTCTATACACTTCATCTTCTCAAAATAGCCAAGAGCTTTGGCCAAAGCCTTACTCTTGTCCCGTGAATGCACATGTGCACCGATAAGAGAGTTATATACAGAAGTGTCCGGCTTGCACCCGCTGTTCCGCATCTGAGAGAACAGCCACATTGCCATCCGTATCTGGCCTTTCCTTCCCATCACAGATATTAACTTGGAGTAGATGCCGTTGTCAGCAACATACCACCGTTGTTTCTGCATCCATCTGAATACCTAGCAGAACATGAAGATATGTAATGAACAGAAAAATAAAACTATCCAACATGCTGAAATTTAGTGGGCCTCCTGTTTGGGTGCTGACATTTGCTGTATGTTGGAGTAAACTTTGCTTAGCTATGCTTTGTGAGATGGACATGTCGAGCATTCTGGTGTGTGCTAGACACAAAAGTTGCCCTGAGATCTCGAAGTACCACGGCTACAGGGCCGTTTGGATCCTTGAATTGAATTCATTCTAATAATTAGAATTTAGGCACAAATTAATTAAGCTAATATGGTTCTATATAGAATATATTTGTATATTATTGTTAGTCATGCAAGGGAGATACTTATATGTTGCATTTCTATTATAGGGAAGCGAGTTGAAGAACGTGCTATAAGTTTGAGAGTAGAAACGTAGCATGGTGATCTATGAAATCAATTTTTCCATCTCCCACCCTACGAATTTGAGATAGGCTTATACGTGAACTTAGAAAAGTTGTGGAATGTCAAATTCCAAGCCAAATAGCTTAATACATTAAGCAGATTCCAATTCCTCCTAAATGAAAGGATCCAAACGACCCCTGAATGAAATGTGGTTGTACCTTTTTCCACAGAGAAGCTGCTGAAGATATAGAAAATGCAATGCATGATAAGATTCAATAATCAGTGTCAGTAGCTAGATTTTGTGTATCACTATTCACTGTTTTGGACGACGAAAACATTGGACTCAACTAGCACCAGTACTAAGGTATCTACCACACATGCAGGGAAACAAACAATGGCTCATAATTTACGTATATATACCAATCCTAATAAGTTCTTAACCCAAAGGTTTGCAATGCGCAAAGCATGCAGTCTCCATAGTCCACTCCACACCAATCCTAAGCCTACTGGGAATCAGGAGCGCACCTCAAGACACTGGAGCCAGGCGTCGCGGCGGCCGAGCTCCTCGAAGAGGAGGAAGCAGTGCTCGGTGCGGACCACCCGCACGTGGCGGTCCAGCACCGGCACCAGCCGCTCCTTGCCGCCGGCCGTCCTCCGCAGCAGCGAGCGCACCAGCTCCGTCGCCTCCGCCGCCTCGTTCACCCCCTCCTCCGCCGCGGTGCCCGCACCCCTCCGCTTGCTCCTGGCCGCGAGCGCCACATGGCGCGGGGCGGCGCCGCCCGCGCCCGGGCACGGGGACGGCGGGTGCCGCTGAGGCCATGGAGTTGATGTGCTTGAGCAGGCAAGCATCGGGTTGGACCAAAGGAAGGCTAGGGTCTAGTGCTGCATTGGACTGCGCTGTGGATGGCAATGGAGAATTGCGATGGCAGCGCTGGGAGGGACCTGAGGGACGGAGGGAGGCACTTTGCCGCTCTGCGTCTGGCCGCGGGTAGGGGAGAGGAAGGGGGGATAGGGGTGGAGCCGTGGAGATTAGACGAATTGCAAAAAAAAATTAGCAGGAAAAAGACGAACTGCAGAAATTTTAGCAAAAAAGAGGATCGGCTGTTGGGAATGTGTTTTTATAGTGGTAGATGAGCGGTGGAGATTAGACGAATTACAAAAATTTTAGCAAAAAAAGAAATCCGTTTGGATGGGGAAATAGTTTTAGCAGAAAAGGAAATCCGTTTGGATCGGGGATTTGAACCCGACGTGAATCGAACACGCAACCTTCTGATCTGGAGTCAGACGCGCTACCATTGCGCCACGGATCCTTGGTTGAAGGAATCCACAACAATATTATAAATCGAATATACCAGTAAGGCCTTAATGCAGCCAAAGATGTCCTAAGCAATGACGCCCATGGATTTGTGCTATGTAAATCTAAAAAATAAAGGATTTGTGCTATGTAATCTCACTGTGGTCCTCGTCGGCAAGGATCAGGTACGCATCACTCAAGCGGTTCGTCGGCAGCTCAGGGTTGTGGCAAAACGACGACACCCGGACCACGGGGCGAAACAAGACAGCAAGAGCAACGCTAATGACCGGAGAAGCGGCATGCGTCAGCTCAAAAGCTCGGTAATTTCAAACGAACATAAGTTGATAAGCAGCAGAGGGCACGAGTGAACTACACCCGATGTACTTTTCGTCAAAGTTAAGGGAACGCAAGCAGAAGGCGACATGATCTTACTTCCCGGTGGACAACTGGACATCGTCCTACACAGATCTCCGCGACTCTATCAGCGGGGATATGATTGAGAGAAGAGGTGGAAACTCCGCTATAGATGATTGTTTTGAACATATTACAGTGTGTGTCAACCACAGCAAAAAGGAGAACGAATTACACAGGTTCCCGCCAAAAAATGGAAAACAGAAACGCAGAAACGAATGTCCGTTCATATGTAATTGGAGCCACCACCATTGATCTGCAGGTCTGAAGGGGACAGGACCGACATTCCCGCTTGATTCATGCCATTCGTTGAGACAGTAGCAGCTGCAAAGATGAAAAACCATTTCAGATCAGATTAATCAAATTGGCAATTCTGCAGCCCTAGAGAAGTTTGTAAATTTTGATTGCAAGCCTGGAATATCCAAGAAAGAATCTTGGGTGTTTTGGCTGATATGGGTTGGATTACATGTGTGACCAATTCTGTTTTCTGTTTTCTGAACATTCTGCAGCCTCCTTTGAAATGCAGGATTTTTTTGTTGCCTATGTTTTTTCTATAAAAATGGAATCGATTCCCATGAAATTCCTACACAATGAATGTGAAATTTCTGCGTTTCAAAGGAACGCTGGGGTTAATGAGGTCATAGACTATTTATGTTCAGAATTGGACACCAGTCTCTCTGCTTGAAATTATGTTGAGGGACTATACAAAATGATCGTGTTTTCCTCATTTCCACCACTTTCCCAACTTGAAACCAATTTCAAGCAATTTCTTTCTTGGACGCTCCAGGCCTCCAGCGAAGTCTCAACTTCAACTTCAAAGAACCTCTATCAACAGTGGGA